TAAACCCATAACTTATAATATGAACTATTTTTCCTGGATCTACACTTAATCTCTTAGACTATCAGAGTCTTTTCAAAATTCTTCTTCATTATTTTCTCTTTTTTCTCTTCTTCTTTACAATATTTAATTTAATCTTCCTTACATTCTCTTCTAACCGTTCTTAACCTTATTTCTAATAAACCTTTCATCATATGTCAGTCACTGCCAGTACTTCGAACCTAAATAAATCTACCAATATTCTCCAATAGAATATTAGAAGCTTACTTGATCGTCTCCCCTCATTACAATTTTTTTTCTGCTAATGCTCAATTGCATTTCTTTATGAAACTTGGCTTTAACCTTCTTGTTCCATCAATATCTTTAATTATTTTACTTATAGATCTAACTACCATGACGGTTATGGCGGGGTAGCAATCGTCCATATTTTTGTAAAATCTAGGCCTCTTCCAATCAATATAACTACAAAAAGTTGTTTTGAAAATTTTAAAATTGATATTGTTGGTGAGGAGATTTTTCTATCGTATTCTTTTTCACCTCTTAAATTTATTTATTTATTTTTTTATTTAATAATAATAACGCCCGCTAGGGCAAACGAGTACAGTAATATAATAACATAGGTGAGTAATAAGTATAGGTATTAAACTAATGGATAAATAACAATGTTTTAACTTATTACTATTATCAAAGAAAAAATCAAAATCAAACAGCTGTTCATTACTATATCGTATAATTATATTTATGGGGCTATGGGTAACAAAATTACGTTTATTGGGTACAATATGAAATAATGTATTTTGTCTATTTTTTACCTGGGGAGTCCTAATGCCAATAAGACAGTAGTTCAGGGTAGTTTATAGTTCTGTTTAATAGCTTGTATAAAAATAGACAATCGTAATAATCGCGTCTATTACTTAGACAAGGTATTACATACTGTCTCAAATTATGGTCATGTTACATTCTTTCTGGGACATTTATTTCTACCTAAATTTAGAATACTCTATTTAATCTTGTTCAGCCCAATTCCTACTCTGTAGGGATATAAATGCCTTTCATCACGCTTGGGATTCTTCAGTGTTCTCTCGTTATGGCAACATTATTTATGATGATATCTACGCTTTTGGAATATTTTTTCTTAATGGAGATAGTCTAACTCATACAAGTCACCTGGGCTACTCCGATTCCGCTATTAATCTGTTCACCTAACATCATCTGAAAACAAATCTGGTTAATCATATCCTAATATTAATGATCCTCATGGCAGTGATCATATCCTAATATCCTAATATTAATTTCCATTATATCTCAATTAGTGATGACAATAACAACACCAAGACCAAAACTTTTAAAATATTGGTCTTGGTCTTGCGGACTCAGTCTTGGTTTTGATCTTGCAAAATTCTTGCTATTTTCACAAAATATAAAAAAAAAAATAACTAAATATCTATCTGTTATAGTTGTGTAAGTTTCTTGCTATTACTTCTAAGATGAAACTTAAGTCCAATATATTATATACTATACTAATAATATAAAACAATCAAACAATTTAATTTTTATTTTAAGTACTCTTTTAAGACTTTGCATTTTAAAATATTATGTTTATATTATTTTACTTGTATTAATATTTGGTGAATCAATTTACCAGCATAATTAACTTTGTAAGTTTCTATTACATTTATAATAAATATCAATATTATAGACTACAAGTTTACGACAGTAATAAAATGATATACTGTATAAGACACTAGTTTAAGTACACAATATCTAATATGGAAAATCACACAAGATACGAACGAAAATAAAAACGTATTTCCAATCAAAATAATATCTATCGTAGTCCGTAATGACTTCCAGCAATTATTAGTATATTCCATTCAAAGTAGATGTGTATTATGGACATAAGTCATAAATTATTCTATGAACAAGACAATTTTCGACGTTTTCATCGATTTTGGAAAAAAATATAATTTTTCAGTAATTGCTAAGTATGAAACAACTATATTATGTTATTTTGTAATATTAATTTCAATTATTTCTAATAATTTTTTCAATAATTCGTCATTTCCTCAAATACTGATCAAATTTAATAACAATACAAATAATTTCTTATAATTTTCGTTATAAATTATTAGTCATGAAATCTAGATAACTATTGTGTTTTCGGGGGGAAAAAAAAATTTGCAAGACTGCAAGAGTCTTGTAGTGATGGTCTTGTTTTGATCTTGTTCTTGCAAGCCAAACCTTGGTCTTGGTCTTGCAGCAAGAATCTCAATCAAATTCTACCAATTTGTATTCGTTTACCTTTATTTCAGCTCCGACTTCATCGATTCTACTCGCTTTAACTATAAAATTTGACTGGTTATCTTTCTCTTTTCATTTCCATAATGGTATTTTATCCATGCCTATTTATTCCTCTTCCGTTGGCTTTTACGCTACCTTCACAAATATTATTTACAACGCCGCCAAATATTTTATTCCATTCCAATACATGGAAGCTAATAATTACCCCCTCTCCCCACCTTGATGAAATTCCTCTTTTATGGATGCTATCAAAAATAGGTTTTTTGGGTGTTCCGGTTCTATGGTTGATATGTCTGAATTATCGCAACTGTCCACTCGATTCGTTTACTCATTTGGTACTCGTTGATACTGGGGTTTTGATAAATTATTTGTACTTTTACATTCTTCTACATTAGTTCTTTTCTTCTGTACACTTCATTATCTAGTGTAGGTGCATAAATCCTTCCAAGAACTCTTCTTTTAAAGCAAGCTATTTTTTACACGCATATGTCAATTGTAACTGGCCGTAGGAAACTTGATTACAGGCGTTCATTTGATCGTTTGGACAATTTTTCCAAAGTGTAGCAACCCTTGTTAGGCTGATATTCTCAGTTTAATTTCATTATGCATATTATTGTGTTGATTTATGTTTGTCCTAAGATATTTGAAATTTTCCACTTGTTAGAAGTTTTAGTTTTCTACTATTAGATTCGAGTTATCTTTTGTTTCCATAGTCATGACTCGGAAGTTATAGGAGTCAAAAGAGGCAAATATGCTCGAAAAATGATAAAATATGCATGAAAAAATGTGAAATATGCAAATAAAAATACTTATTTATTTATTAAAAGTTAATTAGTAAATTTTAAAAACCTATGGTTAAAAAATTTTTATTAATTCATAGTAGACATTAAAAAAAACTATAAATAACCATGAAAAATAATATTGAGTTTTATTAACACGTTTTTCGCGTTATTAGCGTTGTGTATGTAACATTATTTAAAATAAATTGGTTAAGAATGAAAAAAAAATAATTTTTTTAGAAAATATTCAATATGCATACAAATATGCGAAAAATCAATGAAAATCGACGAAATATGCACTTTTTATCTAAAATTAACGAAATATACAAATAATGCAATTTCAACATCGTATAGCTCGTATTTCTAGCTTGGTCTGCTATAAATAGAGAGCATACAGAACATTATGCAACTCCTATAACTTCCGAACATTATTTATTATCTACGAATTCTACGCGATCAACTTTTGATAATATTATCATGAAAATAAAAATTACCATGTGATCACAGCGAAAAATCTTAAAACATTAAAATTTTTCGATTGACAAATAGATGATGGTTACAAAAAAACGCTGCCACCTTTTGATTCCAAAAAAATGTGTCGCCCGGGGCAACGGTACTCACTAGCCTCCCTCCTAAATACGTCCCTGGCCGTATCAGTGGCGCACAGAAGATTTTTGACAAGGGTGTCGAAAATATATATTTCGAGGTACCCACCCACCCTTACCAGTAAAATCTGAGTTTAGGCATAGAGTAACTCTTATTTTTAAGTGTTTTTGGTTTTTTTACTAACAAAGATAATAATAAAAAAAAAAAATTAAATAAACCTAATATTAATTATTTTTCAATTTTCTGGGTATTAATTTATAATTTTGTATAGCATAATTTTTGGAATTGAGCCCTACTACTTATTCTTATGTGACGCTTTATTTCTAGGGTAAACATAATTAGTATGTTGATTTGGATAGCTGAAAAATTGGTTAGTATTAAATTAAACAAATATTCATACAAGTTCATATAGAACTAGCCATCCACCAATTCTCTGAAGGGTGTCAGTCGACACCTCTGACCCTCCCTGTGTGCACCACTGGACCGTATGTGTATGCATCGTTATCGACCATGAAAAAACAACACAAAATGAGTAATTTATTGTTTTTTAATTAGTCACCATCGATTGTCTGCCACGGTCAACTATTAACGATGCCGTGCATACAAGGAATTGAATTAAAAAAAGTATTAAACAAAAACTAATGGAGGGGTTACAACATCCAAAACCCCTCCTGGCCACGCCACTAATATAATGACATCACGAAAAATAAGATTATGATTCGAAAATACTCTTCCTGGATTTAGATCTAATGACAACAACTTCGAAGTGGAAAACGATGATATATTAAAAATTAATGCTGGATTTAAAATATAAATTTTAAAACTGACATTGATTATGTTTGCTTGTCAAAATCATTTAATATAAGTATTGATGAATTCAAAACTGAAATCAGACTATTAAAAAATATTTCAACACACAGAATTGCTTAGTTTCATTAACAATAAATAGGTCCTGTTCAATAACTCCAATACCTAGATGAATCTGACAGAGCCGATATTTTTATTAATTTCTATAAAACAATAGAATTATTTAGAAGAATACCTGTCAAATGTTGTTCATATGAGATAGGTTTTTCTTATCAAGATTTTGTAAAGTTTAATCTTTGGGCTATTACGAACCAAGGACCTTACTTTTTATGAGTATTGAACAAGAGTGTATGAAACTTGCTTATGGAGAAATAGAATTTAAAATATTAGTTCCAGGGAATCGTCAATTAACCATATTGTAGTATGATAAGGATGATAACATTGGTACCACAGAACAGGTTAAATATAACTATTATAGATAGTCCGATAGGAATCGTGTTGAAAAAAATCCAATAAAGTTTTTTTTAACATTTTGATCTGCAAATCTGTTATTTAACATAACACAAAATAATTAAAATAATCTTATCATAGTCAATATTTGGTCACCCTGTTCTTGATAATAATATTTATTTATGTTAACAAATTTATACAACCAATAGCGATTACACAAGTTTGCATCACAGAATAGATTAAATTATTAAACGATTCTGTTTGCAATACGAAGCTTAAATGTATTAAAATTCCATATATATATTCCGTATATACTAATCTATGATTCCATTTTTTAATAACATTTAATTTTGTGAAATATATTATAAGGAAAAGAAAATGGAAGTTGAAGAAGAAATCTTAGCAGACGAAGCAGAATTTTCTAATTTAAATTATATTTCAGGTAATTTATTTATTAAGATTCCAAGGTTGTTCAAAAAATATATAAATAATTTTACATCATTAACTAATATGTTAATAATATAGGTATTGAAAACTAGATTACTGTTTGTTATTATGAAATATTTCCAACATGTTTTATAGGATTTATTCAAAATAATGGATGGTACTTATTGGCTTTAGTCATCATTTTCATATATTTCATTGTTAAGTTATGGCCTCATTATTTAAAATGGTTAGAACGTCGTTCAGAAGCAGCCTATGAAGCTGAAATTAAAAAAAAGTAAAGTTATTATTAATAAATTTCAATAAACTAATCCTTTAATGAATTTATCATGATTATTATAGATCCTGATTTATTTAAACAAAAAGAAGATGAAATGAAAAAAGCTCGAATAAAATTCCAAGAAGAATATGAGAAAAAAGCCAAAATTGCTCTTGAAAAACAAAAAGAAGTATATAAAAAAAATTTTAGTTTTGGATATATTTTCAGTTAAATTAAAAATTATGTTCTTAGAAAGAGAAGAGAATAATAGAAGAAAAACAAGAATTATTAAAACACGGAACAACTGGACAGACAATAAATAATTCAAAAAATTCAAAAAAACCAAAACCAGGTAGTTTTATTGTACTTCATTAATACACAATATTGCTTATAGTTATTATTAGGGCTGGGGTTTTAATGTTCTAAAAAATATATATGTAAAAATGCGTTAAAAATGTATTTATTATAGTTAAAAAAACAATATTATAAAAATCATGTTACCAAGTATATTTAATTATATTTATTTAATATAATAATAAAACAAGTACCTATTTATTTAATATTTAAATTTTACTTAACTTTATTTAAATTTAATTTATTTCATAGCTTGCTTTGATGATCGTTGTTGCACTTTTGCAAATTAATAAAATTCTTTCGACAATTTAATTTTTTTTCTATTTTTGATAAAATAGGTGTATGGGCCCATATGCTCGTATTTATTAATTTATCAATTTAGTAGATTTACATACTAAACATATAAGTTTTAGGCAAATAAAAACTGAAACGCATGATCAAATACCTTAATTTTAAAATATATATAGATAAATTCTGTAAAATTCCCTAAAAATATGCAAAATATGCCCTATAAATGCACATCAAGTTAAATTTATCATAAGATGCAAAAAAAAAAAACCACATTAAATTAATCTGTATCACTTGAAGCATATTTTTTACTTACAGACTACGTTGGACATCAGGAAAAAAGATGAATTTGCATTAAAATTCCAGTCCTAGTTGTTATTCAATTAAAATGTCTAATTAACAAATTGCTAGAAAATTTTAGTACTCAATTATTGAAACTCAAGTAATTATTCCTGCTCCTTCTAGTGATAGCCATATTCAAATCAAAATATAGATGAAAAGATATCCTTAATTTTAGTTTGAATCTATTGAAATTAAATGATTATATCAAATTTTATTACCTAATGTAAAAAGTAATTTAAATGACAATTTGCATTATTTTTGGAGCATTTCAATACAAAATTTAAAAATGATTTCTTTCTAATAATGAGTGTTATAAGTAATTCACATTTAGTGTTAGCAATTTGGCAACACTAAAGGTAGTGTTATGGCAGCTAAGGAGCTGTCCTGGTATTTGGCATCTTGGCGCTTTACTTCTTGCAACAGTCTACACTCTGTTGTGACTACCAATGTCTGGGTAGCTACTAGCAAGAGTTATGTAATTATTTGTTGATGTTCAAATCGACCAAATTAATAAATGTTGTTTTTCATTTAATAACTATAGTCGTTATAGTTTTTATTAAATCAGTTTTGTATTCTAACATTAGTTAACAGATTTTACTATAAATTATAAAAAAATGTCACATTTAATGTTAAGTAATTATTATTTACAAAATATCAATATTAAAATATTTATTTTAGAATGAATATTCTATTACTATTTAATTTATTTTTTTATTAATTTAGAAATATTTTTTTTAGATTACAACCCTTTAATGGGATCTGGCAGTGGTTCAAATTATAGACCACCAAGAAGAAGTCCATGTTCTGGTGGGGGATGTGGATAAAAGTACTATAATAAAATAACATTTTGTAGGTTTACCAATAAAATAATGTAGATCTATAATAATGTATTATAAACAATCATTTAAATAAATAAGACTTAATAAACAGTGACACTTGTCTAAGACCATTAACATTATAGATAATAGGAATGAAAATTAAATTTATTAACACCATTATTAGTATTTAGGATATTCTATTGAATCGGTGATACACTACTGCGGACAGTTCTTATCGGAGCCACCTTTTTAATTGAAATTATGGTTTATCAGTGGACCCCCAAATATTACACTATTGCGGGCACATGTTGCCAAATTTATAAATAAAACTTCAATAATATGGAAATGTGGAAATTCAGAGCATATTAAATTTAGTATGCAGTTACAAGTTATTTTTGTTAAATACTGCAGTTAGGAGAAATTAAATTAAAGAAGTTTAAAAGAAATTCAAGGCGAAACTGAGACAATTATTTCATCTATAAACAAAGGTCGAGAAAAATCGGTGGCAAAAAAATATTTAGATAGAATCACATTAACTATTCAGAGTTATAATGATTATAAAAACCACTAAAACGTGATACAATATTAAAAAAAATGTAATGGTCATTACAGGGGGAAAAAAAATATAAATTTTTAACTTTAAATGCTTACATTATATATTATTATATTAATAAACTGCGTTGCACAACATGACAACGTTTCATTAAATTTTGACCGTTATCATCATTTTTTGTATGCAAAATAATATCTTTTGTTATATAAAGATTGTCCATAATCAGATTGCAAAATAAGTAAAGTGTCTTCAGTCGTGTTTCACCCTATTGAATAAGCATGTAAATTATAAATTGGCTAGGAGTAATATTTAAATTATGGAACAGTTTTAAATAAATATATTATGTACATTAAATTGAAATTTCTCAATTTTATTACAATCTAGTTAAATTTTTTTTTTTAAGTTAATAAATATATTTGTACAATTATTAAGTTTTAAAATAATAATATAGTTGTTTCTGTATAATTTTATTATTATTATTTTTTTTTTTTAATGAAACAAATTGTGTTAGATATATTATGTTGTATTCTGCTAAATTAGAAAAAAATTATTACTAAAATTAATTAAATTTAAATATATTGATAAATCCGTTATAATTTACAATTTATAAATTTTAATAGTACAGCAATATTTAAAGAAGAGTAAAATATATCAGGTGTTTAAAATTAGATAATTCAATGTGTATATACACATATATTAAACACTTGATAAGAATATTATTATTAGTTATTTAAGTACAAATAATTGTTTAACGAGTATAGAAACATATTTTTCAAATGAATTACTTTCTTTCATATAATAATTTTATACTTGATGAAAATTAAAGCTTTGAAAACAGATAATACATTTCATGAGTTGGTGATAGTTCTGATATAATATTAGTACAAATTTAGTATAAAATTCCTAACAGTTAATAAAATAATATTTATATTTATAGCATACTTACATTTAATATTATTTTTTTAAATATATAATTATAGAAGTACTTAATCTGAAAATATCATAAATATGTTAAATAATTAATTATACATTCAACAAAATGTTAATACATAATACTTACATTATTAAACTTAAGCTAATTATATGTTGTTTCCTTTTTCTATCCTGATATTGTGAATAATTTTCAACCCTGTACTTTGAATTTAAGTTGTAAATGATGCGATTATTCCTGCAACAATATTAAAAACACTGGCAATTTTAAAAGCCAATAATAATAATATCCCCTCGTATAATAAACACCCTCGGAGCACACAAGGTTTTTAATTCTTAGTGATTATCTCAGTGTCTTAAATAGCATAAAAAACAAAAATAATAAAATGATATCGCATCCCTCATCCAAAAACAAACTTGATGCAGCGAAATATAAAAAAAATTATATTTTTATGGATATAGGATACACCAGCATCTCAATCATAAGGAAGAATCCACTTCAATTTGCCTACGAAATACTAGGGTAACTCATGGATTCCTTATGTCAAATGACGAACCTCCTATCTGTAAAACGACTCACTGTCAATCATAGTCAATTCCTAACGGAATGTCATCTAAACGTTCAAGAATGAACAATCCTCAACTTGACAGAATCTCTCGAAGCAATCCATGGACAGAAACCAGATCAAAACAAGAAAATCCTACAATTTATAAAATCATCTAATTTTATAAACAAAATATAATTATACTGCGAAATTAATAATGTATCGTAAAATAATTTTAAATAGTAATTAAGACATGTTAGCTAATGATCTTCGCTATAAAGTTATGATCAACAAATAAAAAAACTGAGGAAACTCCAATCTACAAAATAAGAACAACTGTAACCGAGTGAAATTTTTATTTAGTACTTAGTTGAATAGTATTAGAAAAACTAATAGACTAACTAAATTATAATTAATAATAATGTACAATAATGTTGGAAGTAGTTCTCCAAATATTTGGATGTGATATTCATAATATTATTTCCACTTATTTAAATTTTGAAACAATATTACATAAATATAACTTAGAAGTATTAAATTAAAAAAAAAAAAAATTCCTTAAGACTAGTTTATATTTAATTAGATCTACTTGGCAGTAAGAATTTAAATAGATTAGTAAGATAACTTTATTTTTGTAATATTTAATACCACTTTAAAAACCTACAACTAATAAATAATTTTTTAAAGAATAAAAGTACATGAAAACATATAAATCTTTAAAATATATCATTAAAAAAGTTACATTTTATTTAAAATAATATATTTACATTTACTTACATGAAAGGTATGGCAATTAAAGCGGTATACTTTGATAATAATTTTATATCATAATTACAAATTTTGTCTAAATCATAGTTCAGCTGAAATCACAAAGTTATAAATAAATAACTATTACTTTTCATAATACTGAATATTTACTTTTTTTAAGTCTATAGCTTTATAAAATAATCCCTTATTTTGAATAACTAAATAATTTATTTGATTATTGAGTTTTTCTTCAGATTCCAAATCCTATAATACATTTTTTTTAAATTTACACAAATGAATTTAATAATTTTTTTAAAAAATAAGGAATACCTACAATACAATTAGATGCTGATCTATAAGTGTATAATTTGTTTTTAGAAAATTCTATAGATTTCATAAGTTCTGTTAAAGTATATTTTTGATGAATTGTTTCCCTGCAAGTTATAATTAACATTTTTAAAAAATTTATTAATTTTAACAATAATTATAAAATAAATACATGACAAATTAAAATATTATATTTAAATATAAATAAAAAAAATATCAAATTAATTAATTTTAATAAATTTAAAACTTAAATTACTTACGTTTTACTGGAAATATTCTTAATTATATGCATCATTTTTAGAAAACAATAACCTGTATAGTATGCATCCCATCCAGCATCATGCCATTTCATACTTTCAGCTGAAATATCAAACATATATTTAAATCTTTATTAGCACTAAATAGTTAAACATATCATTTAAAAAGTTAGTTTTTGTCATTCTCAACAAATTACTTTAAAAATAAAATGAAGAGCATTCCTTTTTAATATTAAGTGGCTATTAACAAGAAATGCTACATTTTAATTTCACTAAAATAAAATTATAATAAATAATTAAAAATTATAATTTGTTTATTTAATAATACATATATTTTTAAATTTAATTTAAAATAATGATATATTTTATTATTTCTTACGTTCTTCAATACCAACAAGTTGAATACGTAAAGAATCTGAATAGATTTTGGCATATCCACATTTTAAATATGAATGTATTTCTGAAAGAGAACTTCCAAGCCATATATCTATATCACAAAAAAATATTTTATTAAAAACATTTACAATCAAAGTGGTTGTATGAATTATTGAAAATCTTTATTTTAATATGAGTTTATAAATTATTTTGTATTTTTTTAAACAAATAAAAGTTAACTATATAAATATTGGAAATAATTTTAAAGCAATATCTACTTAAATAACATCCCATAATGTAATCCTATATCCTGTATAAGTATATTTAAATTTAAATAGTTCATACAAACACTGAGTCATTATAATTGAAAGTAATGATAATACAATATTTCTAACCATTTTTAGGCATCATCCGCTTAACTTCTTTAGATAACAATTTTGTATCATAAATTGGTCCAAAATGATTAGATAAAAAATATTGATAATCTTTAAAATTTTCTGAAAAACAAAATAATGTAGAATTAAATAGAAATATAATTAGTTAATTATTGCTATAATAACTTGATCAAAATATTTAATAGATATATATAAATATATGTATTGAATAGTTAGAATAAGTAGTTTAAATATTAATTCGATACAATAATATACTGTAACTGAAATAAAATAAAAAGATTTTATAGTTATTTTTATTTTAAATAAAGTTATCACAATATTAAAACTTTAGAAAATTGGAATTATTTAACCTAATTTTATTGAGCATATTATTCATAAACAAATTTTTTCCTATAAAAATTAATTATCACTTTAATATAATTGTATACAATTATAAGCATCACCAATTATGTCAATTAGAAATCAAAACAAAAATTATTAATATATAGAAAAGAAATAAACAATTTTAAAAAAATATATGATACCTAAACATTAATTCTCACATTAATGAAAATATTTTTGATACAAGTTAAATAAGTATAATAATAGATATTCTATAATATTACCAGGTAAGGGTTTAAAAAATTGGTTGCATAAAATTAAAATATCCAAAGCACAATTATGGCCAATTAATGGTTTTTTCAAAGTTGATATAAGGTTGATTATATACTTAATACCCATCATCTTATTTAATAAATTTATTTTGAGATTTTCATAAATGTGATTCCTTGATGTTTCTGAGTTTTCATTTGCCTCTATTTTTGTTATATTTAATCCAAATTGACTCTAGAAAAAAGTTGTAAAACATATATATTTCACATAAAGAATTAGATAGAAAAACAAAATATTTCAACATTTTTTTAACTACCTCTTGTATACTTATGTATTTGAACTTTTTTAGAAGATAATATTGCATTAAGATAATATATGCAGGTTCATTACATCCATTTATTTCCATACATGTTTGTTCTCCATAGTTTGCTTGAAAATACCAATCACCAAAAATTCTTATAGTTTTAATTAATTCTTCCTCAATTGAACGGAATTTTAAATTAGTTTCAAAATATTGATCAAAAAATGAAGCTTTTAACATTTCTGTCTTCATTTGTAATTCTTGTTCGTCAGTCAAATAAGGTACTCTATTACGAAATAACTAAACATCAAAACAAACTATATAATCACAATTTATATTTTTTTAATATAAAATATTATATGATTTACCTTGTTAAAATCAAATTTATGTTTACATAAAAATTCAATACATGCCGTTTCAAAACTGACTACACTGTCGGCCTTAAAGAATGTCTGAGGGTAAGTATAAAATGAATAGGTGTATGATTTAAATGTTTTATTGTTGGAGTCATAAATAAAAATTGCAAGACCCAATTGTAAACAAGTTATATCAGCTACTTTTTGTCGTAATTTACTGTATCTTTCTCCATTAGTATCAAAAAAACTGTAAGTAAAAATGTATATACTTAAAGTAATAATTACTTCCAATAACAAATAAATAATACTTTGTTCAAATCATTTGTATATAAAAAAATTAAAAAAACTGCATTATAGGTACCTATACTTATGATAGATGTTTAGATATAATAAACCAATTGAATCAATATATAACAGTTAAAATTAAATATTTATAATTTAATAAACCATGGTATTGTATAAGAATTTAAGATGTAATTCCCACTTCACACTTAACCCCGGAGATAAATATTGTACAATCTTACGTAAATGGTTTTGCAATATTCTCATGTAGTTTAGAAAATTCCATATCTATGCTAACAAAAGCAGATTCTTTTATTGCTGTTTCGATGGCTGGTAGTTCAGAATAAAAATTTTCACAAGTGATCTCGCACATAATGGAAATGAAATGTAATTAGTAAAATTTAAATGAAAATAGCAGGCGATTGTTTTATGTAGTTGGAAGAAATTATTAATAGCACATACCAAATTAACATTTTATAAAAGTATAAAGTTTGAAAAACATTGACAAAGAAACTAGCTTAACTATATTAGAACGTGATTTAATACGAGATAGTTAAATAATCTATAAATATACATATACATAAATGTAATACGTTATTATAATATATATAGATGTTAAATCAAGTTTCTATGGGGGGGGGAGGCGGCAAAAATTAAATGGTTCTACGGAAGGAAGCACATATGTGTCAATTTTCAATTGTCATTTTTTCAATGCAATGTTCTTTGCTTGATTCTTCATTGATAATCTGATAAAATAGCACGTTCCCGCGCGACGACCGGAAAAAGCACAAACGGTACTGCTCAGTGATGATGGTAAGATACATTATCATTTCTTATACCATGTTTAGAGTTATTAAAATATTGTCTGTTGACATGAAACATTTTGAGGTTAGTTAGATGATAACATTAACTTTTCTTTCCTATTTGTAATCCGTAGTTTCACCCGTTTTACTCTAAAATTTTATCCACAAACATCCAAGTAAGTACATATCTAATTATTTTCATGTTTGTATTTTCAATTGAATCGTGCGTTTCTCAATTTAAATTATATTTGATGAGTTTTGATTTAAAAAAAAACATCAAATAGTTATACACTTAATATGCACGTATCGAATTGTCAGTTATACCGTACGAAAATCGTTGTATCTATTTCGCAGGATGTTGATGCCAAAAAAGAACCGTAGGGCTATTTATGAATATCTATTCAAAGAAGGTGTTATGGTTGCTGAAAAGGACTTTCACAAACCAGTGCATCCCGATTTAGAAGGCATCCCAAATTTGCAAGTTATCAAAGCTATGCAGGTATTTGAGCTCCTTTTATTCCATTTTTCTACTATTTTCATTAATATTATAATTTTTTAGAGTCTCAAATCTAGGGATTATGTCAAAGAACAATTTGCATGGCGTCATTATTATTGGTATTTGACCAACGAAGGAATTCAATACCTTAGGGATTATCTACATTTGCCAACTGAGGTACATCTATACATTTTATTTATTTTTAAATTATTAACAACTACTTACATTCCTACATTAAAAATTATAGATTTTTATCATTATATTTAATGAATTTTTTTTTCAGTGGTTTTTTTGGATTATATTATCTCTATATACTATTTATTTTGTTTCTTAAAATTGTATACATCTGGATTATATATCAAGCTGATATATTATTGTATATGTTACCGAAAAAGATGACAATCAGTCCGTGTTGACAATGATTAGTCAATAACGATAATGCCTGATTTAGTAAGGAATTAATGTCAATACCTAGTCATTGATAACAATTCCTAATAAAAGAAGGCATTGATAATAACATTAAAAATTAATTTAATATATTTTAATACTTATTAGCTATTTATGATAAATCATAATCTTAATCTTTATTGTTACGTGGTAAATTACTGACACTTGAAATTATATAATCTAGTACAGCGGTACCCAAGCTGTGTTCCGCGAAGCCCTTGGTGCTCCGCAATGGTTTGCCTAGGGCTTTGTCCGTTACACTACAAAAAATTTAAAAAAAATGTTCGTCATTTAAAATTAATATATATTTCATGAAGACTTGAATGTTCCATAATCAGATTGATCACCGATAAAGCGGTGTTGATATTTGTTTGAATGCGGATTTATAACATTGCCTAATATAATACAGAAATGTTGATAAAATTATGAAATATCCAACATTGCCTAACCTTTCTAGTCATTGTGAACAATGACTAGGATTTACTGACAATTCCTGAATTTTCATTTTTTTTCCGGTAACACATATAATCTAGTGTAACCTGTCAAGTTGGATACTTAATAACCAGTTTGGATAGAAATTGGATTTGATGATATATATACTTACAATTTTTGTATGATTGAGCCTTATGCTCATTTCGTACTGAATATTTTATTTTGGTTTAATTTTTGTATTTTATTATATTAATATTTACTCAAATATTTATTCTAACTTTATGTAAAATTGCTTAATTGAAAAGAAATTTTTTTACATTTTTTGTATTATAATTTTATTTTAATTTGAGAATTACTGTCAAGAGTTTGTGTGGAATAACAGAAGATTTTAATGTAAATTAATTTATTATGTTAAATAAATATAATTAAATATGTTTGGTGATTTTTATAATGCCGTTTTTAAACTATAATAATTGCTGTTTTTTAGAGCAATAAAATCCTACTTATGATACTACTATCATCATGTGCACAGTGAAATAAACTAAATATTTCTTTAAATTATATATAGTAATTTTTAATTGCTCTCTTTAGTTATTAATTGGTATCCAGTAGTTAGCATGTACTTTTATTCAATGAGTTAATAAATGTATATTTTCAGATTGTTCCTGCTACATTGAAAAGACAAGCTAGACAAGATCCAAGAGGACCCAGAGCTGCACCAGGTGCAAGGCCTGAAGGTGGTCGATCAGGTGAAGACAGAGCAACTTACAGGCGTGCTCCAGGTGCACCTGGATCAGACAAAAAAGCTGAAGTGGGCGCTGGTACTGCTGAATTGGACTTTGTGAGTATTTTATATTTTTTTTTCAAAAGTAAAGTATATAATTTCATATTTTTTTATTCAGAGAGGGCCTGGTGCATTTGGTGGATTTGGTCGTGGTAGAGCTCCACCTCAATAAATGTAATTATTTTTATTACTCATAATAATAATAAAAAAAAAAAAACCAATAAAAAAGCATAAAACTTCAATTTTTTGTTTATTTATTTATGTCCTGATAATTGATCTGTTATTAAATAATTAAAAATGTATTTATTTATTATTACACAAAAGAACAAAATTGCATAGAACTAACATCCTAGTAAATTAAATTACATTGTCTTCAATAATGTGTACAATTAGTTTTACTTTTAATTAGTGGAAAATCTTATTTTATATATATAATGGAAAATATTTTTACCATTTTATAATATAAAAAGATATATAAAAAATTTAAATTTTTTAAGTTTTAAATTGTTAGAATGTATGAAATATTTAGATCTACAGATTTAACAATCATTTTTTAACAAAGTGACTTATCCAATGTTTAAATTATTGTACATTTTTATTTATTATTTTAAACTTATGATGGCTTCAGAAAAGATTAGGAGGAAATTGTATGTATTTACTTACATCTCTGTTGTTGATGTGATAAATATTTCGTACAAACTATTATTAGGTTGAAAAATTAAATTTTGAAGTATTGCAATTCGTTATTAATAGCTAGATCAAGGAATTAAAGTCAATATTTTGACCGAAATGCTGGATGGATTTTGTCGGATCGGTATGGAAATGTTCAAATGTTAATTACCTAAATTAAAACAAATAAAATATTTTGCAGAACAGTACGGTACGGTGTCGGTTGGTTTGTGTCTGACTAGTATGAATCATTCTTAATACTTGTAATTTGAGAGCATAAATTATTTTTCTATGCAAAGTAAATTATAGGCTTGAGGCTGTTGTATTTTTATTTGGCCTGAGGAAAAAATTTTAGAAGTTTGATGCCAATGTATTTGAGTATCACTTAGCGTTACCCAGAGAACACGAGGAGGCGATACTGTTTGTTCTCCAAAAAAATTGCTTTTGAGTTTTGAGTTGCTAAAATTTAAAATTTAATCCACAATATTAATAAAAACATATTAAAAAATCTACACATACAATAAAATTATTTAAGGTTTTAATTTCGTTCAAAATATATTTGTTAATAACCACATTATTTTTAAAATTATTACACATGCTTTTAATGAACTCAAAGCGAATAATTTAATTTGATCGGTAATGCATTATTTGTTTCTGGTTGTGTACTTGCCTTTTAATTATATTTGCATCTATTGATTTTAATATAAGAATCTGTTTGGACAACATTTCTCACAACATGTAACCAACTTAATATTGATGGAGAATTGGAATAACAATGGTCATTGAAGAACGAATGAAACGACTCGCACGCATTCGTCGTAAGCCGATTACTTGTTGAATTACATGCCCATAAACAAGGAGTAAATGAACTATTCTCAGAAATGTATTAAATAATCACAATAATTAGTGACTATATTGTTATTTGGGCATTCCGGCATCAAATCTTCAACAAAACAACTAGACACTTCTTAGGGGTCTAAATATAATAAAACAAAAGTGTCAATTTGCCAATGTCTGAATTATTTTTATAATCTGAAGCTAAGTCATACTCGTACTTTTGAATATTTCGAAATCACGCATGTGTAAGATGAAAATGACATCTAATACTCGTTGATAGATGCTATATTTCATTAACAGCTGAATGTATAGTCGGTTCAAAGTCAATAATTATATATTTAGGTGAAATATTCAAGTTAATTTCTTTAAATTTATCAATAATCGCGTTAAGCGTATGTAAGTATGTTTCATACTTTTTATCAGGAAGCAGACAAAAAATTAACGGTATATAATGCCCATTGCGAAAACCATGAATGATAAATATTTACGTAAAAAATCGCACACAATATTTAAAAGTTCCATCCATATAAATAGTGTCCACTGTATTTAAAAATATTAAATTAGTCTTGCAAGAAAAAATAATCACATATTTTTCCTGATTATTTATTAAAACAAACGGTTTGTTTTTTTGAAGTTACCGTTTCAGATGTATTTAAAACCATGTGTCCTTCAATTATGTTACTTGGCAAAAAAGAAACAACTTTACATCTACTTCTATATATTACTTTTCTAATTGTATTAAAATCATTGGATGTCAGGCCATCAGCAAGTATACCATGTATTTATATAAATTATTATACTATTGAAAATTATTATATTAAGACAGTGTATATAAAATCAACAAGTTGTATATAACATTTATTCAAATTATACTGTAAGTTTGTAATTTAATGAAGTACCTAACATAGAATATGGTCGATAGGGGGTGTTCTAACACCCATATCACCCCCCTCCCCTCCCCTAAATACGCCCCTGATATTATATAATTATCAAATTGATAACTATCCTCTTGAAAGGTGTTATTCTATCATAGATCTAGGTATTTGTTTTGAATCCGATTTATCGTTTAAAATAAATCATAAAATGATTGTCAATAAAGCGTATAAGACGTTGGGATTTACGATTTCGTATAAACAGAAATACTTACTAAAGACTTTAGAAATCCTTTGTACTTAAAGCTTTTGTATAATTCCTTAATTAGGTTTAATTTAGAAATTGGCTTACTAATTTGGTCTGTTGTTTTGTTGTTTTTCTTTGACAAATAGTTTTTATAAACTAAAAATGCAATAACTACCCGTTTTCTGTTGTACACTTTTATAATGAGGGAAGTTATATGTCACTTCGCGTTATGTATCGACACAATTGTCGTTGCAATATTATAATCGTTCTAACATCGCACCATTTGATAGGTGACGGAGCAGTGCTACACGTCAAAATAAATAACGCATGTGTGTACCGCCATACTCGTATAGTACTTTTCACGTAAATGACGGACAAGCAATTTATCGATTATTATTACCCGTACGTCGTAATGCGTTTTTTTCTTCATAGAACTATTGATTATAAATATTATATTATATAAATTGTATTAAGAAAGAAAAGAAAGAAGAGTGTATTGAAAGCGGCGATAGTTTTAAATGCATCGCTAGAAGCCATATAAGAAGAAGAAGAAGAGAAGACATATTGTATTATTTATACTCAGTGCCACATTTAGACATTTTGCGCCCCAGCGCAAAAAAATTAGCACCCCTTTAAGGAGCCTACCCACGGAAAATATAAGAGATAGATCCTCATGAACCTTTTAGATATTCTAAAATCAATGTTGTTTTTGTATAGTAGGCACGCCACCACACGCGAAAACATAATACGCCGTATTATTATAAATAACTTATGTTTATTGACATTATCATAACAAATTTGGGAACTAATATTAGGTATATTAATGATATTCTGGATCATTGATAGCTCTATTGTTATAAATACATTAGTTCATAGTTGTTTAAATTCCAAACAGCATAATACATTAACATTAATTTACGATACTGTTATTAAAAACAAAAAAAAATAATAATTTTAAAATAATACAACTATAAGATAATTTTAAAAGTTCAATAATTCACAAGTGAGCAAATTTCCGACCACAAAATTTTGGCACCCGGGGCAGTTGTAGCCAGTACCCCCCCCCCCCCCTAAACGTGGTCTTGTATATACTATAGTATTTATAATGATACAACTCATTTTATTTTAATTCTCAATTATTAGAAAATCACTTATTTCTTATTAGGGAAATAATTAATTTTAATTTTTTTTATAAGCATTTGAATTTTGAATTCGAGAAAAATCACAAAATTCTTGAATATTTTTATAGTAAAATATACATAAAAATTTCAATACAAGTTATTTTACAATTTAGTTAAATTAGCTCATTTAATTCGATAAACAAAAAAAAAAGCAAAACTCCTAAGTCGGGTGAGTTATAGGAATGGGTTTTTTTAAAGTTGAGACCAATGTGCCATTACTCTCAAAGATTCTGAGTGAAAGAGGTTAATCGGGTGGATCAGTTTATAAAAAGTTGATCTTTTAGCGAAAAAATCATATTTCATAAAGACACAAAAATATCACTTTTTGAATATTTTTGATTATCATTTTATAACACTATTTCTAAATTTCAAATAACTATAAAAAGCATAAAAATTGAAGAAATATTATGAAATTTACTCTATAAAATGTTTATGTTGGTATATAGATTTTTAATATATTTTCAGCCCTAATTTTCGTTTCGCCTCCGCTGTTTTTTTTCTGTCGAAAAAACGAGTCCACGAAAATTTTGAAGCCGTTTATTATTAAGATAGGAAAATTAGTCCCTGGGAGTTATATTGTTATTTACCTACCCATAAGACGTTTAGTTTCCGGTATTTTTAACTTAAAAGTTCGATTATTTTTAAATTATTAAATATTATATAATTAAATTTATTAATAATTAAAATATTAAAACGGTTTTAAAATTTGGAGATCACAATCAGGGATGTCATTTTTTTGAGGGGGGGGGGAGGACAGGATTATGTATTTGCTTAACCCTAGATTTAGAAAGTAGTTTTTAGGCCAGCTAGCCTATGGATCCACATGGGCCGGCCTAGAGCTATTACGGGTCATGACTCTTTATTTAACATACAATTATATAAGTCATTAATAATTACTAGTCAAAAATGATTGAAATCAAAAGAAAAAAAAAGATTTAGCAAAGCAATATTTTAGTAAGTTGTTATACCCAATAATGATGTTAATTGGTAAAAGTGTGGTCAAAAAAAAAAAAACCTCGCATTTTAAATAAATTGCATTGAATACCACTGAAATGTATTATTAGTCCTCATAGTATCATCTCCAACCACATAAAGTCACTCATTAATTTATACATGATTTGACAACATTTTTTATACTTTAAATTGCTTTCCTGAGATTGTTTTTAAAGGGGTTCAGTATTAGCAGTAGCGCACAGTAGATTTTTGACAAGGGTGTCGAAAATATATATTTCGAGGTATCCCTTCCCCCAAGTAAAATTTGAGTTCAGACATAGTGTAAATCTAAATTTTAGGGTGTTTTAAGTTTTTTCTTACTAATAAAGATACAAAGAATAAATTTTTTTTAAAAATAAACCTAATACTAGTTATTTTTCTGGGTATTAATTTATAAGTTTGAA